AAGGGAGACACACTCATAAATATTATTCAGTGGATATGAATTAAAGAAAATACTTCAAAAATATTTATGTGAGGTTCTTTCTCATCTTTGAGCACTTTTCTTTGTCCAATTTATAAGTATTTCTTTAAAAAAAAAAAAAAAAAAAAAAAAAGACTTTATTCCTTTAGGCTTTATGAGATTCAAGAAATTAGGATTTCTCTTTTCCAATAAAAAGATAGGAACAAAAGGACAGAAAAGATACAAAAAAGAAAAACAAAAAAAGATCCAGGATACAAAAAGGAACATAAAAAAAAAAAAGGAATAAAAATTTAACACACTTTAATGAGTTTAATTGATCATCCATCCATAAATACAAGCACAGTATTACTGCTTACTGAAAGCAATCGTGCACATTCTTAGCATAATGCTGCGATCATCTTTCAAGCATATGCTGCTGTTCTTTGTAGTTTCGTAACAGTGATGTTAAAAACACATATGAAATAATACAGGGAAACCTAGCTGTCCAAGGTCATTACTCACATTATACGACAGTTAGCTTCAAAAAATTACACCAGAATTTCTTTTTCATAGGCCAATATCCCAACTAAAAAGCAAATGAGAACTTTGTATGTTCCTTCTAATGCCTTTAAACCATTTGACTCTTCCAGTTCAAGGAAATTCTCCTCATATACAGCCCTGATGCACGAACACAAGAAATCTTCTTCGTACATTACCATCACATGTTGGGAGATGCAGTTGCCACCAGTCAAATTCAAACAGCACTGTGAATTACTCCAGAAACATACAACGCTTCAATACAAATGGAAAGTAGCATTTCATCCTAATTGCATTTAATAGAATATATTATCAATATTAGTTGATATTAGAGCAAACTTTTGTCATCCTGTTACTTGCACTTAAAAATCAGCTTAAAGCATGCTTTTGTCTGTTATATTAACATCAGTGTTTTTAATTCCATCTTTTATTGTAAGTAATATTAAATATCAGAATGTCATTATCTCACTTTTACTAGAAATTAACAAACAACAAAGTTAAAATATTTGTGCAAGATATAAGACCAAAAAAACTTAAAAATCTATTGATATTTCATAGATAATATTAAAATAGCATTTAAAGAGCATTATCTTAATGGCTGCATGCAATGCCTAAGCACTATGGAAAGTGATGTTTTAATAAGCTTGAATGTGTCACTGTAACTACAAAGAAATACATATCTCTAGAAAGAATTTGGTTTACTCCTATAAAAGGAGAATGTCTTGGTCAATGCCAGTGATAACACTGCCACATCTTAATTCTCACATTCCATCACAAGAGATGGAACTGACCTCAACATTTGATAGAAAAGTGTAATGTTTGAAGTTTTGCTGGTCACCTTAGCTTTTCTCTTATTGTCAGTAACAATAAACGTGCATCTCCAAAGCTCTTTCATCTCATCTTAAGATGGACATAAAACAAGGCTGAATGGATGAGTCCTCCTCTGGAAGCACCCACTTTTATTCACTGACTAGAGAAGTCTACAGCTCAGTCTTACAACGCCTAGCTTCCTAGACTGAAAATCAGCAGAGATTAATCACTCTCTTGATGTCGTTCTCAAAGAGTACATGGGCAAAATAAGCCTAAAATGAAGGAAGAATCCATAACAAGCATAAATATCAAAACGGACTGTCTCATAAAAATGCAAAAACAAGAACCTTCTTGCGAAAATAACAGGGATCTGTGCATTTGAAATGTTATAGAGCGTTTGATCTCCATGTCAGGACAGACTCAACCACTTACAGAAGCTTAAGAATACACAGGGAATATTTTGAGAATATGCTGACAAAGTAATATGCTTCTTCTGAATATGAGTAAGCATCAATTTGCAAAAGCTTATAAGTCAGTGCAATAAGGACAGACATTCATGGGCACAGCAAAAGCACATCTTATAAGCCATTGAAGCTTCACTCTTAAATTTCAAGTCTTTGCTCAAAAGCAAAGGAAAGAATTGTTAGACCTTTTTTTTGAGCTGATTTTTTTTCTCATTCTCATAAACTATACACCCATCTCACAGAAGCTTTTGCAAAGATACTCAGCCTACAGCAAAACTGTGGACAGAAAAGGTCTGCAGAAATAATTGAAGCTGAAATTTAAGAAAACATAAATTTAAAGAAATCATTCTTTTTTCCTCATTACATCTGACTAGACTAGGGAAGATAGATATTTCTGTTGTGGAATACTGGATTTCTTCTCCAAAGCTTTTTCCCTTTTTGTCTTTTCCTTTTTTTTTTTTTCTCCAAACATAAAAGTATATTACACATGTATCTTCTGTTCCATGTGTCAAATGAAGAAGTTTCACTTCTAAAATACCTAAAATCCACAGCACATGACTGTCCTTCTAACTGGGGCTCTAATTCACAGCTAAAAAAGACTTTCACAGACTTCAGTCTCATTTTTTAAGTTACACTCACAAGTCTTTAAATATAATTTAACACATTTCAGAAAGCTCAACTTCTCTCGTCTTTTACCAGAAGTTCAGTAAAACCCTAAACTGAATAGCTAAATAAATCAGAACCAGAAGAAGACAAAAAAATAAATACATTTCAAGATCACAAAATAAAATAGCAGACTCCTGTGTGACTGCACTTAACTATAAATATTCCCAGAATCACAGGATAGCTAAGGTCAGAAGGGACCTCAGGAAATGGTTTAAATCCTTGCTCAAACAGAGTCAGCTAGAACAGACTGCTTGTTATTGTATTCCACTGGGTTTTGAGTATCTCCAAGGATGGAGATTCCACAGTCTCATGGAACCTCCAGAGCCTCTATCAGCAACCCACTCCAGTATTTGACCTTTTTCAAGGCAAGGAAGTACCTTTTATGTTTAAATGGACTTTTATGCACATGGATTCAGTATATATCCATTTCCTTTCATCCTGTCGTCGGGTACAAACAGAATGGAATAGTTAGTTGGAAGGAACCTTCAAGGATTGCTGAGTTCAACTGCCTGACTTCTCCAGGGCTAATCAAAAGATGAAGTACATTATTGAGAGCACAGTCTAAATCACTCTTGAACATTAACAGACAAGAGGCATTAACCACATCACTTGGAAGCATTTTCCAGTGTTCCAGTGCCTTCACAATAAATAAATTTTTCCTGATGTCCAATCTGACCCTTTTGGTGAAGTTCTGTGACATTCCTGTGCATCCTGCCATCAATTCCCAGAAGCAGAGCCCAGCACCTCACTCTGTGCTTCTCCTTCTCAGAAGCTGTAGACAGCAATGAGATCAATATTCACCCTCCTCTTCTTCCCACTGGATATTGCAAGTGTCCTCTGCCCCTCATCAGACATGCCTTCCAGCCCCATTTCCAGCTCTGTTCCTCTCCTCCACACGCTTTCAAGTATCTTAACATATAGTTATATAGTGGAGCCCACAATATAAAAAAATATTTCTAGAGAACTACACATAATATTCAGTGTTGGTGAGGTTACACTAACTCTAAATATAGTGGAAGAATCACCTCTTTGACTGGCTGGCTATGCTGTGCTTAATACACCCCACAGTGTGGTCTGCCACTTGGCAGCCAGGCCATGCTGGTGGCTCATGTTGAGCATGCTCTCACCAGCAACCCCCAGATTCCTTTGCACTGATCTGCTCTCCAGCTGTCTGTCTCCCAGCCTGTGCCTCTCTGGCACTGCTCCATCCCAGGTTCAGCACCTAGAATTCCCTTTGCTGAACTTCACGCCGCTGCTGGCTCTGTCTTCTTATTATGAGAATAACATATTATATATTCTGCTGTTCAGGAGAACAGTGTCTAAATTAGTCCAGCTAGTAATCATACAGTATCACTCAGCCCATAGTTTATGCTTTACACTATACAAAAATCAGGCTAGCATTTTGAAAATTCAGAAATTATGTGTGTATATATGGATTATATAGTGTCACACTTACCATATAAATTACTGTATGACATTTATTTACTTACTTGCCATTTGCAGTTTTGGAGATCTGAATTTTAAGTCATAAGGGATGTAAAAAATCCTGCATTGTCACAACAGGAAATACACAGCAAAACAGAAGTTCCTCATTTGAAAAGAAGTTTCAAATTTTTCACTCAAATCTCAAGTCTCATATGTCTCAAATTTTTCCACTCTTAAAAATGGCAGAGCACTAAAAACATCTACAAGGCCTGAGACTATAGCTCCCAAGCAATTTAAACTCAAAAACCAGAGCATCTGCCAAAAGAAGCTATCGTGTCCTCCCCCACACTTCTGGCTGCTAATTTCCACCCTCATTTCCCTTTGTACCAGTCACAGCCCTTGGACAGCCATACATGAGAAGGCTGGGATAAATCCAGCTGAAAACAAAACCGTACAAAGAATTGGTTATTTTCAGCCAGCTCCACTTTCCAAATTTATTTGTCACATAGCCATGTAAACAGCTACACATGCTGAGGGTGCATGAGGGTACACATGCAATACGGGGAGGGGAAAAGAAGCTGGAAGTGCTTCTTACACAGCTGTAACAGGTTAAAGTGTTCACTGAATACTTTGGCTAAAGCTAAGCTGTCAACAGAGAGACACAAGATACTGAAGGACTCACACAACATCTTCTTGGCATTACTTTTAGGATGAGATGGGTTGGCCTCTGCAGATGCTTGATTCTCTACTGAGCGTTAGAAGATTCCAGGATGACTAACTGAGATGTTGTGGCTTCGTCCCCACATATCTAAATTAACTTAGATCTAGATGAGTTGAAAATGGTAGAAAGCCATAGTTTGGACTCTTTCAGCAATTCATTTTCCAATAACAATTTTCATACGTGAAAAATAATTGTAGAATAGCTTACCATCACAAAAACATAGAAGGAGTATGTATTTGCTGAATGCTTTGCAAATTTAAACCATAATTTACATCCACAGGCAATAAATTTCAACGACATGGTTCTGTATTCCTCCTTAGTGAGCACATAATTCCCCAGTAGTAACAGTCACAACCACAGCTCCACTATAAATCACTTACATTTCTTTGGAGTCACTTAGTCACCTTGCTGGGTTGTAGAAGGAATGGTCTTTTCCTCTTTGCTCAAACTGGTCTTCCTTCTGGAAGCGTCTTGCACGTCTATCGTTGATAAGGACAAAAGGTCCTCAGCTTTCACTTAAAGTTATCTACAGGTAAAAAAAAAAAAAAAGAAAGGGGTATGGTAAGTACAAGCCTTCATGTTGACTTTATAACCAAGTATTACAATCACTTTTTTGAAACACTCATCAATACATTTATGGGCCACGTTCTTTTATCCACGCACTGTACACCTTGAAAGAATCTCGTGTTTTACATCCTTCTTTATATCAAGCACCCTGGAGTAGCAGCCTACTCCATGCCTGGGATTTGTAATAACAGAATTACTTTAAAAGGCCTGAGTCCACAAAATGAAAGATCATTTCTGATTCTCTTTTATCTTTTTGCAACACCAAAATCACAATCAGCTCAACACATTTACTGGAAACCATTTTAGTTACCCATTACTAGCAAAAATTCAAATATGTATCTTCTGCTAAACGAAACACCTCTTTGTGTCTCAGAAAGTGTTTACAATAGCTCCACAAAAAGGTAACTCACCACTCTGCCAGAGCCAATATAGTGTATTAAACATTAGAAATTACTGAAAAAGGAAAAAGAACTAAGAAAAATACATTATTTTCCACTGTAACAAGCCCCATCTTGAAAAGCTTGTTCAGCTGTAGTGCCTCGAAGAGAACAGAGCAACAAAACAGAAGTAGTTAGAAAAGGTTCAAAGAAAACATACATCACCCACTGGTTAGAGTATATCTCGTATGAGGAACAATTCAGTATGCCACAACTAACCAGACCAGAAAATTCACAACTAGAGAGATTATACAAAAGAAGACAACAAAAGCCTTAACAAAACTGAGATACTGCACAGAGATTCCTTGCCTCCTTGAGCACAGATTCAAAACAAAATGCAATAACTTCTCCACAAAGTAGGTAACAGACCTGTGGACTTCTTCCCAAGAATGCTGTTGATGCAAGGAGATTTCATAAATCAAAGGGGGGAGTGAACGCATCCCTAGAAGAGAAGATTCACTGCTCCACAGCAAAATTCTGCTTGTGAAGGTTCTCAGCACTTCTCTGTGTTTGTATCTACAACTTCATCCATGTGCACCCACCCTGTTCAACACATATAAATGCAGTTCATTAGCATCTACAGGCCCCACGTTTCATCTCAAAGCAAACATTAAAAATCATATACTTTGAATTCCATCAGCTCTTCTTTTTTTTTTTTTTTGCTTTTATCTCTAGGATACAGCAGTGTTTTTGCTTTATTTTGGGTAAGTGCAGATCAATTAAAATTCCTTCAGGGAAGTCTTCTGATCCAGCAGAAAGTGAATGACTGCCATCAGGAGCAAACACATTTTGCTGTCACAGAATAGCCTGTCACTTTTGAGAATAAACTCTCTTAATTAATTCTATCCATACCCATCAGATACACCAAAAGAAAATAGTTGTCTTGCTAGATACAGATCTTTCCACTTGTGAACTAAGTAACCCTATATGGAGACTTGTGCACTGGCATGTTATATGAAGCAGCAGACTATACGAGCACAAAAACATAGTGAGACAAAAATAACTTCGTTCAGACCTCAGTGTGCAACCAAAGTTCCTTTTGAAAAATGCAGAAATTGATGCCCTAATGTTTCACACAAAAATTTATCTTCCTCAAAATCTGAGCACAGATCTATTTACTCATCTTCTTTCCAGACCTTACAATGAAGAATCTGAATTACTGCCGCTTTTTTTTTTCCAGCTTGATATATCAAAGTATTGCTTAGTATTCTATCTACACCCCCTCCTCATTTCCACACTCTGCAAAATAAGAGGCTGCCGTGATGCTCAGTTACACTTGTTTCTGCAGCCCAAATGGCTACAGAGAAGATGGAACAGAATTCACTGTACAGCATATTGATGACCAAAGACCTGTGGGACTACAACAGCACTTTAGGTCACCTTTTTATTCTTCTACCCTTTGTCCAACTGCTCTGTCTGTTTAGAATGCAAAAACAAAAGGATAGGATTGTACATCATCCAGCTCAAAAGGAATTCAAGTTCTGCTTGGAATCTTGCACAACACTGTAATATGAGGGCTGCTCCGAATGTAATGCCTCCTATTTTATTATGCAGGCCCATGATACCAGAGGTGGATATTGCTGGTATGGTTGAACCTTTTCACCAATATCCCATTATATTTTGTTGCTGTGTGACAGACAGCAGCAGAAGGGCAGTCTGACAGAACGGTGTCTGACATGGAAGCGCATACGAAGCAAAGGTGTGTCATAAAAAATTGCAACCACTGACATCCATCAGCTCTTTCTGAATCTTTCTGGAGACCAAGCAGTAGATGTGAGCACCGTGAGGCAGCGGATGGTGCTGTTCAGCAAGGGTGACAGTGGGTCATCTCCACTAGTGCAGACTTTTATGAGTACAACATGCAGACTCTTGATTATCACTGACAAAACTGCACAGCTAATGGTGGTAGCAGTGTTGAAAAGGAGTATTTTTTAGCTGAGAATTTGCTCTATCAAATAGTGTTATTGTGCACTTTGCATTTGTTGCAGTTTCAATGGAAATAAATAGGATGCATTATTTTTGGAGTGACCTATGTACTAACTAGATGTAAGAGCAACCACCTTGGAACAAGAGCCAATTGTCTTGGAATCAGCATACGAGCAGAGATAAGCTTGTTACAGATTTCAAAAATTGATGTTAAAAAAAGTCAAATTCAGGAAGTATGGCTGGGTGCATTAAAGCAGGCAAAATACTACTGCAGGGCAAACCCTTTGAAAACATAATAATAACAATCTGTAATTATTATAGCTATAACTGCAATGCTAGGGAAATAAAAGCATGGGGGATGTCTTCTAACACAGCTAACCTACTGATTGCCAGATAGAAAGATTCTCACTCTTCCACATGTGGTCTTGAGTTACAGTGAAAACGTTTACAACATCTTCCCATTAATGTGATCTCAGCTTCCTCATAGCAGTGCTCATAGCAGGGGGAAAGTTGATACACAATTACTTCAATTGCAAGTGCTGGGAATCAACAGTTACCCAAAAATTGGGTAAAGAATGCTTTTCTTTCCCCAACCACTTGTTATATACTCCTTTGGAAGGTTACATGAGCACTCATGATTGGTTTAAAAATTAATTCCTTATATTCCCTAATTCTATTATACCCCTAAAAGAAATCTACTTGTTCCAAAGATACAGGAAGGTATTTTTACACAAAGAATTTCTTTGCTTGTGCTTTGAATTTCTGAATAACACAAGTAACCAAGTGACTCAGGTAACCCATAGGATTAAAGCCACATACTGGTTCATTTGGGTATTACAAGCTAAACTTGAGCACAAACTCACATTATTTCTGTAGGCTGCAAAAGGCATAAAGCAAAAGCTGCATAGGGTAATGTATGTTAGATCTTACTAACATTACTGCTACAGGACTTATTTGGCCATTGAAAAAGCAACAGTTGCATCACAAAGCCATCTCACATAAGTATTGGTAAAATCTCCACAGCAGACATTTTTACAGAATACACTGTAAAAAAAAATGTCCTAGAGAAAAAATTATTTGAAGACTTATAAGCAATTTCTGAACTATTTAGAGGCTGTGTATTATTTGTAAGAAAAATCCAATGGCTCAGATCGCTGACTACATATGCTATAACATTCAGTTTTTGTACAAAAGCATTCTACAATTGTACTTTTAGTGACTAAAGCCCATTGGGTGAAAGTAAATAAAAGACTAATGCAGGATTTGGACTGACACCTTATCACATAAACAACCAAGCACTGCTTTAACACTGAATAATATTTACTCTATTATGTAATTGTGTAGTCAACCTAATGCACTATTTCAGACACGTGTCTTTACTACATTGTTTATCTAAAAGCCTTTACCCAGAAAACTTATCTCACAAGAACAATCACTGTTTTGCCAGCACGTTTTGGAGCCTCTGTAAAGAGCAATGTATTAAAATACAGCAGCAAAAGAAACAAACACATCTGTGGAAAGGTCCCTTTGCGTTAATCTATGACATAATTGTCCTAATCTGGAAACAGCATAAGGAGTAAACGAGATCAATCACAATGTGAAGAATTAAAGAAGCAATGTATTATACTGCAAACTTCCTTAAATACTGTGCTGTTGAACTGAAGGAAATTCAATGCTGTGATGAAAACAGCAATACTTCAGAAATTCTCAGAGTTGGCATCACATCTTTTCTCTTATATAATGAAAAGATAAACATGAGAGAAATGACCTATCTACATGTAAAGTCACATAATACTAGAATCCATGCACCATTATCACTAAGAAAACCAATAACATTTCCTGCACAAAATATGTGTTGATACACATATTTTGCAGGACTCGAAAGCACTAATTAAAATGTGGTAATTGTGTCCTATCTTTAGTTGTATACTTTTCCTCTTATGAATTTGGACAGACTTTAAAATAGAGAAATACTCCACATTTCTCTTGCTGATTTGCCTTAATACACATTGACCAGAAGCACACAACCTGAATCTGAATCACACAATAATGGACTGGAAGGAAACCACAGGTAAGAACTGTGTCCAAATAACTCCTCACATGGCCAGCTATTTAAGTGCCAACGTAAACACTCTGTATGAAATAGATGATAACAGACAAAGGCTAAGTAGCTAGATCAGACCATGTGCCAACAAAGATATAACACTGGCTTTGGGACAATCAGATGAAATAGGGTGAAGGGTTGTTAAGCTGACATCTGGGCTTGAGGAGGTAAACAGACAGAAGCATCCTTCTGAAGGAGATCTTGTGGCAAATACAACTGGGAATATCTTTCTTCAGCAGTCCCCAGTGGGAAGCATGTCACCTACTTTCTCTGATTTTCCTCCCAGCTTTGCCTGCCCTTCTCACTTCAGTAGTGGGGTGCCATTCCATATAGGGATACATAGCAGGATCTACAGACACAAATGCCAAGTAGATAGCTGTGACTCTAGAAATGAAACATCACACATGCTTTTCTAAGCTAGGGCTTTGCAGTCACTGCTGGCACTGACAGGAATATAGGTGAAATCTGGGTTTCAATTCTCAACCCACATCA